TGTACTAATTGCAAAGCATTCCTGTTTGTCAAGTACCTGAGTTATTTAATAGGGTGATTTGTATACTTTTTCTACTGAAATGTAGCATACCACAATGACAAGATAAGGGTAGTGGAAGAAGTCAAAGCAGGGAGGGTTTAGTTCAGCTGGTCATCGCTTCTGTACTGAGCTGCATCCCATCTGCATCTTTTTTAAAAATGCATCACCTTCCACTTCCCTTCTGTGATGAGACTGTCACCCCCAGCAAGACATAAGGGGATGAGCGTGTGGAGTGGTCCCGGCAGGCCCCCATGGCAGCAGAATCTGGGCTGGATGAGAGTAACACAAAGCAACAGAAAGCAGGGAAGCAGTGACGGTAAAATGTTGAGGACAAAATCTATAAAGACAGATATCAGAGTAGCCTAACCTGAAGGTAAAAAAGAAAAGCTTCAATTAGAGATCTCACATAAGAGAATAGCCAGTGACCCTTCCACTCAGTTCTATCCTCTTTTTGACCCCACCTCACTTTGTTATCCCTGCTGAGGCCTGCCTGTGCTTAACAAACGGCAAGGCTGAATTTGGCTGATGATATATTAGGGTGCAAAGACGCAGTTTGAGGAAACATGTTAATTATAAGAAAACGCTGGAAGAGTAAGGCTCCAAAGGACAGCTGCCTCTGAAGTGGACTCAATATAGGCAAAACATGTGGCATTGGATTATAATTTGGTATGACTGATAGGAGGCATGTTTATTCTGAATCAGTGGCAGTTGCAGAAATTGAAACATCCTTGGGGAAGAAACCCCCACTTTGATACCTACCCAGTCAGTCAGAAACATGAGAATGGAGCATCTGGCTTGTGGAGGCAATCTAGGCATGGAAGTGGGATTGTCTTGTTTTTATGCAAGGAAGGTATTTTTTCTACCACAACTGGTTAAACACACCCTATCAATTAAGGATAAGCCAGTGTTTCTACCATAAACTTATAAACAAACCCACTAAATAATTTGTCAGGTGTTTTCAAAACAGGCAGTCTCTTGAGAAGAGAGCTCTAGAGCTATAGTAGCAAGAATGCTACAGGTCAGGTTTAAAGTGCTGCATGGTGACGGTGTGATGACTGAGCTGTTTGGAAAGATTTGCCTGGAATCGCTTTCGTTAAGCCATATCCAGCAGACGCTTACAGAAGATGCAGTTCTTGCTCATGTGAGTTGTCTGACTGAAATAACTGATATTATTTAAGTGACAAGTGCCTGTTCCTTTCCATAAGAAAGAGTTTTCAGGGTCTGTGTTTGAATTTAGTTAGTGTGATAAGCCTGCTGCTATCCAGAATAGCACATACCAGTCACATTATACCAAGCTTTTCTGTTTTTTAAAAAAAAAAAAAAAAAGGTTCTAAAATAAACTTAGATAAGTACTTTTTCAAAACACTGGAATGAGAATTTATGATTTTTTTCATTACATATTACATTTTTATCTTCCATAAGATATTCCAGTCCAACTTTTTTTATAGCTATAAATAAGCAGTTTGATTTGTGAGGTTTCTACACCCGTTCTTATAATTTTTTTCTTCTTTTTTTGTTTCCCCTGTGAAGAAAGGTTCATTTTTAGGCATGGAGATTGTTATAACAAGGAGGACAGCTAAATACAGCCAAATCTAATCCGATATTTTATCATAATACTGTATTATTTTGGTATTATGCAAAAGATGTAGGATTTTTTTTTAACGTTTCATGACAGCAGAAGTGGCACACAACTTGGCTTGATCCTACTAAAACCTGAACAAAATCATAGTTATTCATTCAGACAGAATATTTGCATTTGCAAACACGTAGAAAAGTTTGAGCAATGTTTTACTGAAACTTTTCTGTTTCCTCTATTCCTAAATTCTCACTGCTCTTTTATACTCGTGTCCAGGTGTATTGTAGCAGAGTATTAGGACCTTGTAAGGACCCAAGAAAGAAGCTAGCTGTTGTGCAGAAAATAACGGAGGTGGTAGAGACTGGCAGAAGAATAAAATTCTCAACTATTCAGCTAAAACAGGCTCAGAAACAGCATGATCATAGGATCATCCAGAAGAGGAGTCATACTAGGAGCAGCAAAACTTCTTAGAGATCTTTTCTTAGAGAAAGAGAGTTTTTTCCTCGCAAACTAGAAGTAGCCAAAAAGTTGACTTGCTCTGGGCAAAAGGAAGATTATTCATTTCTTTTAATTGACATTTTGGACTACTCTGTTCGTTTTTGTTTTATTTAAAATGTGGTCAGGTTGAGAGAGGTATCCAGAGTGTCTGTGGCAGTCTTTTTGCTGGGCTGGAGGAGAGTGAGATGAGCCTGAAATTGGTGGGGTGAAGTTGGCAAGGTGGTGAATCTTATTCTGATATAGAAGACTGTTACTTGGAATAAAATAATTTTATTCCTCCCAGGTAAATTTGTTTGTGATGTAGGTGGGTTTTTTTAGCATCCCATGTCTCAGTATCTGTAATTCAGTTTCTCTTTTGTGTTTAAAAAGAAAAAAAAGCTTCATACTCAGTGCTTATGAATCCCTAACAGATACTACATTTGAAGCAGTATTTTTTTAAAAAAGTTGGCAAGACTATTGTTGTTTGAGTGGATGCCTTTTTTTAGCAATATGTTCTATTGTTTAACATTTTTTTATTCCCGACTTAGAAACTGATTATGCTTTCACTAAGCATAAAACTTTAAAACAGTCAGAAAACTCCAATGGATGTTTTTATAAAAATCCACAAGAGCTGCTGCCAAAGTGTCATGGTTTCATGAAGCCATGCAGAGGGTCCTGGAACGTTAACTGTTTGGTTAGATTCATTGCTCTGTGACTCAGTGAGGTTTTAAAGTTTAAAAGTCTTTTTCACTTGAAAAAGCTTATTGGAACGTGTAGTAAGTAATGCTTTTAACTCCCCAGTGTGTAGCCAAAAAAAAAGTCCGAATACAATTTGAAAAACTATGAACCTTTTAAAATGTCAGAAGCTCCTTACAAGAATCAAAACAACAAGGTGGCCATGAGTGGTATGGTGGAGTTTTGATGCTCCGCTTTCTGCAAGGAATCATGGCTCCAGCTCCCCGTTTCCCCTGAGAGTGGAATATTTTTGCTGTCTAACTTGATGTACTCATGTGGGGGATGCGAATCTTCCCCTGGAAGCGTTTACTTCTCCCTCTTGCCTCCATGGGAAATTTAAGCTTCTTAATATTGGTGTTCTCCCTTGTGCCTTATTTACAAACCAAAAGTCTGAAAGATGACATCTTCTGCTCCCCTCAACCCCTCCTCTGTGCCCACATTGTTAAAATTGGAGATGACACGATTGTGCACAAAATGGATGAGATTCTCTAATTTATTAAATGGCCAGAGTCTTCCCTGATGTTGCTAGTTAAGGAAACACATAGCAAACAGCCATATCTCAATATGTGCTGCAGAACGGTCTCTCCTATGCATTCAGAAAAGGTCGTATGAAAGAAAGCAATGGACTATGTTACGAAGAAGAGGCTTGGTCTGGTCCCACTCTCTTAAACGCTAAGCTAGCCAAGCAACATTCAAAGAGTGGTGATTTCTCCGAGTGTCAGAAGTGGATTTCATTTCATGCTGTTTCCCGATTCTAGTGCCAACTGCATGCACCAAGAGCTCAGCTTATGTACAAACACAGCCCCATTGCCATGAACATCATTTTCCCAAGCAGTGCACATAAAAATCTGTGAAAGTGGTATAATTTGCATTCATTTTTTTCATCAGATGATTTTATTTGGATAAAGCTTGTAGTCATACAGTTCTGAATAAGGTAAAATAATATGTGAAATTTCCGTTCTTTCTGTACTCTGAATGTCTGAAGAATCTGTTTTTATGCCAAACCTATTTTTATGGCCATATGTTGATTTTCTAGGCAGAATTATAAGATGTGACTAGATTGTATGATCACCTTGTCTATAATGCCCGCAGGTAGCTTTGAAAGGAAGATGTATGTCAGAAGTATAATGCAGTGTGAGTGTAATTTATGAGCATGAAGTATGTGAGAATGTTTTAGGAGATCAGTATCACTTAATTAGATGGAGCTGAAAAGATTCCAAATTCTGTCATCATTTTGTGGATCTTTAAAATGAAGTGCGAAATAAAATCATGTGGATCTGTGAAATCCTCATTGCTATCAGTGTTAAGTCATTTTAACCCCGTTATGAAACAGTTATCTGTGGAATGGCTTCACCTCAGAAGCTCTGACGATGCTATTTCACTCTTCACACTATACATTTTTTAACGTATGTTCTAATATTGTTAAAAAGACGGTAAATGATGTTAAATGAAACTTTTAAATGACCTAGGATAAAATAAGTCCAATTAGAGTGTAAAAAAATAGTGCCTATTGTCCTGCATGTTCTGAAGTAGGCTGCAAAAATCCCATTGACTTTGGGATTGATCCCACCTTTTCTTCGTGCATCTTTTAAGAAAATACTTTTAGTATTTCAAATCATAAGTATATTTTTAAAAGATCACCTCTTTGAAGACGAAGCCTGTCACTGTTTAGTTTTCACAATAAAAGAACTTGTAAAAAATGTCTTCTTTTAATGTCATTGAAATAAAACACATAAATGTCTTTAGTGTTTGTTTTGTTTGCTTTTTAAATAGCCTGAAAATAACTATAACAGGATTTTTTATTTCTTTATATAAATGGCAAGGTTAGTTGATCTAACTGCTTACATAGAAAGAGATTCACTCTGTCTTTTTTAGACTATGATCCTACAAATGCTTATATGATTTACTTTGCATATGCGTGTAGCAGGGTTTCAGTTAAATGAATATTGATATGACTGTTACCTTAGGTTATAGAATAATCAACCAGAGATTGCTTTACTTTCGTTATTGTGGGATACCAAATGCGTTATTGGGACTGAACAATTAAACATGTGCACGTGCTTCCAAGTTTTTTCATATAAAATAAAATGTATATTAATGTGTGGTATCTATGCATGAAATTTGCAGATTCTAAGAAAAAGTTGAATATTAATGGTATACTTTTATTTTGTAGCTTGGATCATCCTCCTCTGTGCCTTTTACATCTATATTCTCGCAGCTGTTTATGACTGTTGTAGTCCCTCTTATTATTGGACAGGTATGTCTTTTAAATATACATCCTTATTTAAAAAAAATAAGATAAAGAGAGCTATTGTAAAGATAGACTGGCAACATGGTAAGCCGCTACATAGGAAACAGCCTCAGGATAGTGGAGTCTAATATCAGAGAAGAGATGCTACAGTGCTCCCTGGAGCCACATTGATCTTTGTTGAGATTGAGCATCTGTCCCTCACTACCGCAAACATACGCTATTGCATATCGAGAAGGGAGTTTGTGAACATAAAGTGGGAAAAATGGCAGCCCAGACTGTGAGAAATTCCAGCCCCATACAAATGAGCTTTGAGAATACTATATAGTCCTTTTGTCACATGCCCTTTGCTTGGTTGATGAAGGAAGTTCTCCCTGTGTAGTATCTACTACTAATTACAGGAATAAAAAATTCCCCACGTTAAAAAAATCCATTAGGGCTAAGCAGTCAGAAGTTAAGAAATGATAAAACTAAGGTTGCTTGAGCCATTTTGCATATACTTTACAATCAGGGTTCTAATTGCCCACTCCCAAACTATTTTTTCCACAAGACTCCTCCATCATTTGTTACACCGGATGGAGGGTACTCATGGAATGAGCAGCTGTTCAATATTTCATTTTATCCTCATTGCTCATGTTGAAATACAAGGCTTTATTTCTCATGGTGTATGGTTGAAATCCTGCACTGAATGCAAAGGTATTAATTGCAGTGTAAGATTTTCTGTGACACTTCTCTCTGATATCTGTTTTTTTTTTTTTCCCCACAAATGTTAATATTCATTAAATATTTTTTCTTCCACTTCATGGTTGGGAAATTGCTATACTAAGATCAAAATTTAAAAAGTGTCCACTGTTCTTGGACACCAAAAGCAAAACACCTGAAATCTAAGTTTTACATACTTGTAAAGTATTCACTGTTCTCAGGCATTTGGAATCAGACTCCCATAGACTGTGTTGTACTTTTGAAAGATACCTCCTTTTGCAAATTTGGTCACAGATCATTGGCCACTTAGAAGAGAAGACAAAAGGATCTGGTACCATCTGAGAAAGTTGAATTTAACTGTCTTGCATAGCATCAAATGGGAGCTTGTTGGCAGAAACGTGAGTTGAATCCTTTTCTTCAGGATGGTATTCAGCCATCTGAACCGTGCAATGCCCTTTCCCATGCCTCATTCACTGCACATCTTTCAACTTCAGCTGCAAACAAAAGTCCTGTGGAAAATAATATATCCTATGCAGCTGTGATTTATTCCTTGGACAGTGGCCTTTCTAACTTTTGAGGTTTAATTTTGCTGTCATTTTATGTAGGGATTTTGAAACGTTGTCTCGTGTTTTTAAAAGAACAGAGAGTAAAAAGAAAATTCACAAAATACCTCACGTGAAGTCATGCTGATCTCTTGCTCTGTCTCGCAAACACACTCATGCACACGCATGCCAGTCAGCAGTGGCACAGCGGAATTCAGGCAGACTTCTGCTTTTTTGAGCCACTAAGCGGCTAGGAACAATAGTTGAACGTTATCCTGTTTGTGAAACCACATTTGAGGGATTATCACTGGGATTTGCAGCTCATTCCTGAAAAGTACCAGTGCTGGCTCTATTCTGGGTTCAGTTGGAACTTGCTGAATTTTGTCAGCCTAAAGTCAGCTTTGGAACGTAAAATGTGGTTAAAATGTAGACAAATGAAAGTGGAGCCTATAACGGAGTGCATAGGGCAATATGAAGAATATCTATCATTGTCTGTGCTATGTATATAGATCAGTAAATCACTCTTGTATCAAACTATAATGGTAAATTTCAAAATTGGCACATACTGTAACTTACTGAAGTCCTAGTGAGGTTTGTTTCTTACATTGTCAAAAAGAACCATTAAGCTGTAATAGGAAGATGTGTGTGATAAGCACAACTCTGGCCACCGGTATCAGTACCTACATGACGTGCATGTAACTATATCACATAGAAAAGGGACATAACAATCATTGTGCCCCTGAAGTCTGTTGAATTGCTCACCTATTTTGAGTTAAATGCCTAAGAACCTTCTTATTAATTAGGACCATGAGGAGTTGCTGATGAACATTCCTGTGTATTTCATTCTCATCTTGCCAAAATTGAATTAAGTCTCCGTGAAATGTAGAATGAGCAAAATTACTTGAATCCTCTAGTCCTGAAAGGTCCAAAACTTGAAATTTGTTACCTTAGTTGGGAATTTCTAGGAAATAAATAGGATGGCAGCGGATCTAGGCAGAATGAAATAACCAACCATGCTAGAGTATCAGCAATCTATACTGAAATCTAATGAGAGCTGGAAGATGGTGGTAGGTTGCTAGACAAAGCCATTGCAAAATTTCAAAGGTAGTTTCATATATATACATAATGGTATGCTACTTTGGAAAGACGTGTTACAAGAAATTGCTACCTGAGATGGCTGGCGGGTTGGGATTTTTTTGGCGGCACCATATGATAAGGCTAAGTAATATAAATTGCGCAGTAAGCATATGAAATAAGTGCTCTGAGTGATCATAAGTTCAAAATCAGAATTGTGATGAGACGTAACAGAGAACAGATGTTGTGTAACTCAGTCACAAACTTATTTAAGAGTTTGTTTGGTTTTTATAAATACTCTTCAACAAAAAACCAGAAGGCTGACTTTCCTTGAAAAGTGTTTGAAGCAGTATCTGGAAATGAAACACCAACAGAAATAACCCACATTCCTCTAAGCATAAAGACTTTGTTTCTAAAGAACGTGAGATCTGTTCAGAGGACATGGAGGAAAGGAAATGCTAAGGACAGCTACCGATCAAAGTGCTAAAGGTAGTCGACGGTGATTGTCTTGATTAGATAGAACTGTACAAAAATAAACCAACCTGTTTCTACTCCAGATAAGAATTGAAGCCATTTCTGAAGGTGGGTGTCCAAGACTAACCTGCGATAATCAGGAGAAAACAATATGCAATAAAAGTACTGACACCAAGTGTCAACAGTCGTATATTTGATTTCCCTTCATCCAGAAGTGGCATGGATCTGTTTTAAATTAAATGCAAAGTTTTGCATCTCATTTGTAGACCACTACTCACTCTCTGTTGAAGTGTTGCACAACATGCTGTGTAACAATGTAATAATACTTGGTAAATCACAAGTTGCTCACTCTGGGATTCCAGATGCATTAAGAGATAATGGCCCACAATTCATGAATGACAGTTTCAGCAATTACCTCTAATTTATCATTTCACACCCACAGTGTCAATTCCTTACCATGCACAGTCATACCGCTCAGCAGAAAAGTCAGTGCATGAATGCCTGTTAGGGTTACCTAGTAGCAAAGAACTTGATTTGAAAAAAAAAAAAAAAATACGAGCTTGGGACCTGCCTGCTCGGAGGATTGTTTCTCTTCAACCATCCTAACTCAGCTGTGATCAACAGAGGCTTTAAGCTTGATCCACACCGGTGTAAAACAGAGGCGGCTGCTTAAAGGGAGCCTTCTCTGAGGGGGATGTTTTTCTTTTAAAAAAAAAATCTCGCCTCTGGGAAAATCTGTATTGCCTAAGTGCTCATTTTCTGGGCAGGCTGCAAAGCTGGCTGTTTGCACAGCCCCTGGGATATGTGCAAAGCAGAAGAGAAGGTGCTTTTAGATCTGTTTTGGTTTTTTGTTTGTTTTATGGCAAAATGTATCAAGAATTTTGGTTACTTGGCTGACTTGTGAGATTTTTAAATGATGGATGGGAGAAAGAAGTGGCAATAGCGTAATTGATGCTTATTTGCTGCTGCTTCTCCAACAATTGTTCAGCGTGTTACCAGGCTGCCATTGACTGGAGTCAAACATGCTTTTCTAGCCACTGACAAACGCATGAGGGGCTGCAGGTACAGCCTCTGCTCGGGTGCAGACTGTCATTTGTCAGCTGAAGAAAGGACTGCTAAAGGAGCTGGCTTGAGAAGAAGGAGATACTGTGTGATGAGAAAGCCACTGAGGCTTACAGATAGCAGTTACTGGCAGACGGTCTTTGACAAGGAGAATTATTCTGTTCTTTGTCCGAGATGTTTAGGTTGTGTGCAGTGGCCTGTGTCCTCTGTGTCTACAGATGCATTTTGCTAAGCGACAATGTGATGTTGCTCAAATCAATATTGATAGTATAATATTGCATTTGTATTTACAGAGTAGAAGGTAAGACGTCTCTGACGAGCGGTTTTGAAGAGAGATTACGAGCGCTAATGTTCTAGAGGTCTCATGTTCTATGAACCTCGGAGGTCTGTGGCGTTCAAGAACTTACTGCACACCACTTTGGTATACCTATAAAGGGAATTTGAGAATACTTGTTATACAGATGGTAGTGGTAGTAGATATTTCATGGAAAAGGTCTGATTTTTGAATTTTCTGTGGGAGCTTGAAGTGCTGATTATTTTTTTTTCTGTGTAGCACAGAGTTCTGTGAAGTCTGATGGAAGGGGTGAAAAACGTTGCTCCTCAGCTGTCACAGTTGCGCTAAAATATTTTTACCTTGCTTATAGGTGTTGGCAATACTTTTTGCTGGCTGAAGTTAAGGTTTCAAGAAATGTCTAAGCATTTTCTTCATGACCAGTTCTGAGAGTTTGGTTCAAGACTGTTATTTCTTTGTTTATTTTTTTTCTTCTGAAGGTGACAGATAACAGAAGCAGTGAAAACCACTGCAATATTTCCTTTCCCCTTTTTGCAGGCTTTCTCCTTTCTCTGCACCTAAGTGCTTATGACAGACTTTTATTTTATGTTTTATATTAAAGAGCGATTTATGATTAAATGTTAATGACATAGAATTTTCACTGTGCTTTCATTATATTCTACTAGTTTGAACATTTTTCAAAGCAGCACACCAAAACCTACTGTTTTCTATGAATAAATAATAAAAAGCTTGTCTGTACATTATCATTCATGCATTCTCTAGTTGCCCCACTGGTAATTTGTCTGCCAACATAAAGCGGGCACTTCATATTAGCCAGACCTTAACTAAAGCTAAAATTAATGTTATGATTCTAGTAGTTCTTC